TGTATTAGTAAATGTATATTAATTATGGTTAGTATAATAATAAGAGGAAAATCATGATTAGAGTATAGTATTAAAGTTGGCTTTCAGATAAGCTCAGTCAGTGTCAGAGAGTCACATTCTTGGTGGAAATATTGTTTTTGACTGGTTTTGGCATACTAACTTTAATTAGTTAAAGAAAATAATATAAGGTGTCTATGTACATTATCATCTGAATATTTAATTGTGTTAAATTAATACTGCAACATGGGGATTTATTTAATTAATAATTATTATAAGGCTATTGTTAGACAGATTTAACTTGTTGAGAATCGTACTTTTTTCACTAAATATACATATTTCTAAATTAAATATTATGCTTCGAAAATATATAGATACAAGTATGCATTTTATATTAAAAATATGTATTTTTGTTAATAAAAAACATGTCAAGTCCCCCTGATATTAATGGACTTACATTATAATATGTGATAATTATTTGGTTTTTAAAGAGATCCATCTTAGGCGGCAAGTGACAAAGGATAATTAACAAATTCGACTTTCACAGTTTCATTTAATCAATGTTCCCGCCGGAAATGATTAAATTTTGACACCAATAATGAGGAAAGAAAAATAAAGGTGGCAACACTTTGCTCACAATCAAAGTTTTATAATAGTTATAATAATACACAATTATTAATGTTTACAGTGACTAGTTATAGATTTGTAGGCTGTAGCATCATCAAACTAACAAGTACATAATGGAAATTGTATACTCTGTAGTGCACCAATTATTATTATTATTGGTTAAAATTTCTGGTATTTTTGTTTTCTAATTTGTTATCTTAAAAAAAAAAGATTTAAATGATTTTTTATCTCATAATTTTGGTGAGAGTTGGTGGAAAAGTAGGTAAGAAATTGAAGTTTGAGATGGGGTTAGATTTGGCTAACAATTTTAAACCTTCATGAACGAATTATATACATTTTCAATTTCAATTCAAAACTTGGCTAGCAATTTTAAATCCTCATAGACCAGTTATATAGACTGTTTCAATTTCAATTTAAGATTGAGTTTCAATTCGAGACTTGGCTAACAGTTTTAAATCCTCATAGACCAAGTATATATACTGTATTAGTTTCAATTAGAATTACTTATATTGCTACAGAAAAAATTAAATAAAAGAACAGAGAAAAACTAAAAATAAATAAATAAATAAATAAAAAACACTAAGCCCATTTAGCCATGAGAGACATGCCACCCATACCCAACAAAACTGCAACAAAGGCCCAACCCTGAAGCCTCATGCTCTTTTGCAGTCTTGAGCCCATAAATTCAGCCGCCAGCAGATCCACGAGAGCCATATAGTTGAGCAGCCCAGCTGAACATGCGTTGAGCAAGCCCACTACAATAAGGGCTGTTGGGCTGTTTTCACTGTACACTTTGGACAACCCAATTCCCAGCGCTATTCCAAACGGAGTTGTGGTTGAGAAAAAGAACACCAATGTGGCTTTCATTTTCATCCCATATTCAGCCTATGTCACATAATCACGTCATAAATTAAAGGTTATTTAACACTATCATTTGAAAAATATGCAAATTTTATTTAATTTTAATAATAATAAAAAAAAAAAGTATTGTAATTTTAAATTGTTTACCTGCATTATACAACCCCCAAGGCCCATTCCTTCAAAGAGTTGATGAAAGCAAATGGCCGCAACCAAAGGCTTTATTGTGCATGGATTATCCGAAGCCCCCATGGATAGGCCGATTACCACCGAATGAACAACTATTCCGAGCTCCAAAACCTGCATTTGCACATTAAAGTTGCTCTTAGACAAGACTAATGGTTAGTCAGACAGAATGGTAATAGATTGTTATTAGACAAGACTAATCGATAGGCAAATGGTAAGATTGTTGTTACATAAGTGTAATTCGTACAAAATTGTTGTTAGATATAACTAAATAGTTACATAAGATTAATTCAAAAAATTATTATTAGACATAACTAAATTCTATTTACATAAGTAAATAGAAGTACAACACTTAACAGTAGGCTCTTTTATGTCTGTACTATAATTTTTTTTTTCTTTTATTTCTTTTTTTTTTTTGCAAAAATTATGCATTTTTTCAAATATTATGTATTTTCGCAAACATTAGTTAGACTCAAGAATTAGTTTCAAACAATTTAAAAACGAAAATAGGAATTAAATATATATTCAATTTATAATTCACCTGTGCGACCACGCGATACCGCAACAACTGAGCGGCGCCTTCTTCGCCTCCGACGGAAATCCCGTGGCAGTGTCCGCCGCCAGCCGCCGGCGTCGGAGCCTTCTTTCCATCGGGTCCCGTCTTCCTGTCGGAATAAAAGTAGCTCATTGCAACGGAGTCCACCATGAGCGTGGCCACGGCCGACAGCATGGCGGCGAAAGTGGAGAACGGGAACCTCCGCCACGGGTTTTCCGGCAGGCACGGCGACGTGAGGTCGGCGAACGAGTCCGGCAGCACGTGCATGTATCCGGTGGCGAGTATGACTCCCGACGCAAAAGCTTTGACGAGGACGAACATGTCCCTGTCGGGGTGCAGAGCCGGCACCGAATGGGAGACGATCGGAAGGCAAACGCCGGCCATGCTCGCCGCCAGGATGGAGGCGATGGCGATGAGTTTGAACTTCATTGCGTGGGCGGAGTTCCGGCAGCCGGAGGAGGAGGGGCCGCATTTCGGTGACGGGGAGGCGGTTTGGGGATCGGCCGCGGCGGCGGCGGCGGCGGCGGCGGCGAGGAGGAGGAGGAGTACGGCGGCGAGGATTGGAGCTGGATTAATCCTGGCCATTGGATTGTTTTTTATTTTGGGAGTGGGATTTTGGGTGGTGGAGATTTTGTGGTTAGGGTTTTTGGATTTTTTTATAGAGCGAAACTGGGGAGGTTGTTCGATTCATGTGGGGTTCGAATTTGAGTTTGTTTGTGCGGAAATGACAGTTTGGTCCCTGGCTGGATCGTTGATGGGTTTGAGTAAACGAAGAGAATGGGAGGGGTGTTTAGGGGAATTCGAGGTGGTTTTTGTCAGCTTGTGCTGGGCGTGTGGGCCATGTGTGGAGCCTTTTGTTTGACTTCGTACACCTGAGCTCCAGCCTCAGACGAAAGTACACTTTGCACTTGCGGCAGGAGTGACGTGGAATCCACGTGTGCGTATTGTTATTTTGTTTCAATAAATAATGGTAAAGGACATTGGTCAAATTGAGCTTATTTTAATTTAATTTCTCCGTTGCAATTTTGAAATGCTGACGTCTACTAGCGAGTCAACTTTCAGTTGAAGTGACTATTTCAAATTTTTTTAAATATTGATCTNATCTTGTATGAGGGTATGTTGGGCGAATCATCCGCTGTGTTTTCTTAAAAAGTGTTCTACTTATAATACTATGGACTATCACATTTTTGTTATTTTAACAAAGTTTATATTTACACAATGAAATATCATAGTTTTATTCACGTTATTTTTTTAGAATACGATGTTTAAATTTGAAAGTATGCATAGTTAATGAACAAACTATTGCTACCGATTATTTTTTTTTCAACCAAATTTCATATTTATCTTATGAAATGTCATAGTTTTTGTTTACGTTGTAACATTTTAATTTGAAAATATTTATATACCTTAAAAAAAAAATTACCTAACCGTCAGAACAAAACGTATTGATGAAAATTTTTGGTGAAATGAAATATAATTTTGCATTGGAATATAAAGTCGATATATATAATACTTGTAAATTCTAGTTTAATAGCACCAAAGTATATGAAGATGAACATTATAGGTTGGATGTGTATGCAAGTAACATGTGATGGAATATATATAAGTGATGAGTGATGAATATGAAATTAATAAACTCACAATATGCAATAATGATAAGTAAATGATATGTGATGAATTGAGGGATAAGTGACAAGATCATGAATATACAAGTGAATCATGAAAAATATAAAACAATGAGTATCTTGTGATATGTACAAAAAAAACATGAAAGTGATTGAGTGATAAAATTTGTTACTTACATAATATAGTTTCCCCCTAAATCTCACATAAAAGAAAATTACACCATCCACTACATCTTAACATTTTTATTACATAATTATAACTCATATATATTTATTTGCAAATTAACTAAAACTATCATATTTATTTACAAACATACTAGATTATTGAAATATGGTAAAAGCAGATTTAGTGGTATCTATAATTATCACACGCTTTCTCCCTCTCTCCCTCTCTCTATTCGTCTTCTTCTTCTCTCTCCCTCTCATCTCCTTCTTCTACAATTTGCCCCAAATTTCAGAACCCTTCTTCTTCCTCATCGATCGATTTCGCTCAAAATCTCATAAAACCCTTCGCACTAATTAATTGACCGATCATCATCAAAATTTTAGAGAAAAGATTTTCTCAATCCTCTTCGTCGATCCACCATAGCCGCGGGACGTCTTCATCAGATTCTTGTCCGATCAACCATGGCCATAGCCGTGAAGCCGCGAGTTCCGACCGCCGTGCAGCAAGGGAGAACCAGGGGTCCCGAACAACAGCAACTCCTTCTCCCTCGGGCGATGTTCGATCAAGTCTGAAGCCAAGAGACGAGCCGTCACCGACGAGCCTCCACCACCGGGATTTTCGAGAAAGGCAGACATAAATCGCTGCACCCATCTCGGGAATTTTGAAAATCCGCTACAAAATGTTCAGGAATCAATACGACACCAACGAGACGACGTGGTTGCCGGCGGGGCGACTGTTCCAAGTGGAGTACGCGATGGAGGTGGTGAAGCTGAAGAGTTCGAGACGATGGAAGAAAAAACTGGAAATTGGAGACTGTGGGTGGGGGCCATGAATTAATCGGGTATATGTTATGTATATTTAGGGTATATGTTCTGTATAATATAAGGACTACCTTATATGTATGTACGGTTTATATTGACAAAGCATAAACTGATGATTTTTTTTTTGTATATGTATGGTTTATACTCGGTATATTTTCAGTATATGATAAAGAAATTTATCGCGAGACCTAATTTTTATGTATAAAATCTATTTAAAAATAGCATAAACTGCATTTTTTTGTTGGTGTTGTGTATATGTATGATTTTAGGGAAAAAAAAATTTTCTCATCCGAACTATGACGATTTTGGCGCATCACTATATCAACTATTTTTTTTTACAAACCACCACTTGAACTATACGGGTTTGTCAAATTGCCCCCTATACCGGATAAAAAAATAGTTTTAACTAAAAAAAGCTGATTTTTAAGGGTATTTTGAGAATTTCATATATATTTCAAAAAAAAAAATGAAAAATGAAAAAAATGAAGAAGAAATGGTCGCTTCTTATTGCTGCAACAGGGAATGAGGATAAGATATGGTGGCAGCGCCTCGCTCCTCACAATCCCGGCGGCGGCCTCCGTCAAATTACCCAACTGCCCCTGCCCGAAATTGTCCGGCTTCAGGGGCACCGCCCCTCCCTGCCTACCAAACTCCGGCAAATTACTAGACTGCCCCTCACCTGAGCCGTCGCCCTTCTGGAGCAGCGACACCTCGTTCTCCTCCGGAGGAGCCGACCGCTTGGCGGCGGCGGCGGCCGAGCCGCGCTTGGCGTTCTTCCTGTAGCCGCCTCCAACTGGGATGTTCCTCAAGGCGCCGCCTTTGGTCCAGTACCTCCGGCAGCTCTTGCAGAAATGGCGGGGCTGAGAGAGATTGTAGTTGTTGTAGTAGCAGAACTTGGTGTTGATCGAGTCACATCTAGGGCATTTCAGTTTTTCTTGCTCTGTAAATTGTGGGTGCTGCGAAAAATTCTGCATTTTTTTTAATTCCCAAATGGAAACGGAAATAAAATATCTGTTTTGTCTTAAAAATTGAATCTTTCCTATCAATTTACGATTTTTGAGTGTTCTTGTAAGGGGTTGGTTGAAATGAGAGGTATTTTGGNGGTTAGTAATTATGATAAGGATGAGAATTGGAAATCTATGAGATGGGTTTTGGAAGATAAAAAAGGAAAAAGATCAAACTAATCTTTCAGCAATAACAGGTAAAGATTGCATTAGAGAAGAACAAGCTCAAAAGATTACAGCCCCCATGGAAAGCTTATTCTTGAATCCGTTTCATGAAGTAGAATGTTTTGAAATTGAAATGAAAAATCAAGAAATGGGGAAAATAAATAGAAAAATCAAGAGTGAAAAGAACAAATATTAGTTTTATTTTTCCTCTCTCTGTCTCTCCTTGTTGATGTGAATGATCTCTGTCTTATGCTATGAAAAATTCTCCAGTTTTTCATTCCCCGTTGCAGCAATAAGAAGCGGCCATTTCTTCTTCATTTTTTTCATTTTTCATTTTTTTTTTTTGAAAAATATATCAAATTCTCAAAATGCCCTTAAAAATCAGCCTTTTTAGTTAAAACCATTTTTTTATCCGGTATAGGGGGCAATTTGACAAACCCGTATAGTTCAGGTGGTGGTTTGTAAAAAAAATAGTTGATATGGTGATGCGTCAAAATCGTCATAGTTCGGATGGGAAAAAGTTTTTTTCCCACGATTTTATATTAAGTAATCTGTTATAATATGTTTTTAAACTATATATATACTTTTATGTATAAAAGAAAAAAAAAAGAGGAAGATACAATTTTTGATGAAAGACATTTTTCTCATTGCAACATATACTGAAAATATACTAACATAAACGTAATATATACCAGCCGCGTGAATTAAGGAATTCAGTTGCACACATATACTGAATATATACTAACATAAACTCAATATATACCACCTCAGAGCTACGTGAATTAAAGAATTCCAGTTGCGCACATATATTGAATATATAGTAACATAAACTCAATATATACCACCTGAGAGCTACGTGAATTAAAGAATTCCAGTTGCGAGAATTAAGGAATTAAATGAGTAAATCACGCCACCAAAGGATAACTGATATGGGATAGAGGATGTTACAAAAGGTAACTGATATTTAGGCAATCACGTAAATAAAATAGCTTGATTAGGTATATCTCCTATTAATTGTTCTAGGAAGGTAAAAGTGAAAATTCTTTTATTTCATATAGTATGTGTAAAAATTTCCCTAATTGCAATCATGCACAAATCCTCCAATTAAAAGTGACTTAGACGGGCTTTATAAAAGGCACAAAATTATCAAACCATTAATACATAGTTTCACTCATTCATATATTGGGCTTATATGTTTGGATTCACACTTAAATGAAGACGAAGAACCTAAGAAATTGGGCTTTCCATGCCAGCTCGTTTCTGCATAAGTAAGCCCAAAGTGGAGGCCTTTATTATCTCTTTATTTTGCTTCTTTTTTATTTTTTATTATTATTATTTTTCTGTCACAAACTTTTAGTTTAAACAATTTTAAAATACTTTTTTAGTCTATGATCAAGACATCAAGTGGAGACACATAATTTATTAGTAATTATTAAAAACATAAGTTATTATGGGAGACAGTATAATTTTTAGAGGAAACGACCCATCATAATTTTTTAATAAAACCTTGACGTACTTGTATTTATGTTATTTTATAATATAAATATAATTATTTATAAAATAAAATTTATTGACAATATTATTAGACCGACCAAATNCCAAAAAAAAAAAAATCATAAACAATGGGCATGAGAAGAAGCTAGCCTTTTCATATTCCCCCACAAAGGGTAAAAGCAAATAAAAGAGGTTTAAAAGAAAAAAAAAAGTTGATTTTGAAAGTTCTCAGTAGAGTTGTGGATGTCCACTAAAATCTACATTCTCTTTTCTTATATTATCTTCAAGTGTGTCTAAAACTTTAATTGCAGGTTCATTTTATCATAAGATAGTATTGCAAAAGGACATGCGACAAAATACCCATGCCTATTTTATTACCACAATTAGACCGTTCATGAATAAAAACTTGTTCATGTTCGATAAAAGCTCATCCGTTATTAGTTGAGTAGAGCTCGAATAAAAGTTTAAGCTTGTCTGTTAATCGAACGAACACGAACCCGTTTGTGAATATTAATTTAATATAATTCTTTATTATTATATCTATATCTATGGTAATTATAAACGTTTTATATGTTGAAAATTTATTTTCAAGCTCGAACAATTTCAAATGAACTAATTTTGATTTAATCAAATAACTTTAATAATTTTTACTAATTAAATGTACGAGCTTGAATACAACGAATTCAAACTTTGACAAATAATTGATGAACAAGTTCAATCACAAATTTTTTATCGAATAATAAACAAATAAATATGAACAATGTTCAAACAATTTAACACGAGTTCGAAATGCTCAAACTCGACACATTCGATTCGATTATAGCAATACAACAACTGACCTCTATTACGTTATATATTGCAAAAGAACAAATAACAAGGTCCATGACATAAATACATTAGCACGTTTATTTTATATTGCAAAAGAACAAAAAAACAATGGCCATGGCATATATAACTACACATTATAGCACATTAGAACACTAATATATAATCTCATTAAATAATTTTATACAGATAATAAAAAAATCAAAACCACTAAAACAAAATTCCACTTTGTTTTTGGTGTTGGTGTAACAGGATTTTAGTGGTACTTTGTACTATAAAAAGGTAGGCATTAACAATTATCATGATACCTTAAGATAAGAGTTGGTTGTCCACTAGGTGTCTGACTTAAAAAAGATTCACATTTGTTGCAAAAATCTGATGATGCTCTTTTTATTCTTCTTCTTTAATTTATTTCTTTTTAAATAATAATTTTTGTGATGTTGCTCTTTAACTGGGAGGAATATGATGTGTGAACCAACAATCTGCAAAAGAATGGTTCAAATGTGAGCAACATGATTTATTCCAAGCACTATACTCTTTTTATTTTTTCTTTTCAAATATTCCCACTTTAATTTGGAGTGTTCAATTGAAAACACTTTACCTTTATGAGGATCATACATTTTCTTTACTTAAAAAAGAGAAGATGTGAATGTCAAGAACAAAGGAAGATCAATCAATCTCAATTTACAAGTGTATATATGATGTTTCTTAAATATACCAAGAGATGCCTACAAAACTCAACACTATAATCTTGTTAAAATTGGTAATTGAGGTTTTTTTTTATAAAACAATAAGTTTTCTTAGTTTTATGTTAGGCTGTCTAATATTTAGACAATCATACTCTTCAAATAACTAGACATATTTTCATAGTCAAATGTTGAGATATAGTATAAACTATAAATAAAAGTAGACATTTTATAATATAGGCATACAAATTTTGTAAGAAAGTATGGATGTTTGACGTTTCGGCAGAAGCTCTCACTTGACACGATTTGATAATTACATATGTATTAATAGGATACTTATGATATTGTATAAAGATTATTTATAAGCTAGTATTTATCAATAAGCTTCACCTATCAAACTAAATATTGATAAGATTGTAAAGAAAAAACATAAAGGAGATTTGGTGTTGAATGCCATGAGAATACATTACAGAATTTTTCTTTTCGTTACTCAATGATTGATATTGATGGTGATCGGAGGCTGCCTTTACAATGCTATTTATAGTGTTAAGCTAAAATCTCATACACATCAAAATACCCTAGCAACATGATTGGCTACAATGGAATCTCCTCTAGATGGCAAATAGCTGCAGTGCACGTGTCCTAGGTTAGCTGTCACTTTTTCTTCTCCAACATTCACATGCTCCATCTGAGGGCTCTGAATGTTGCCAGCATGAGGATCATCCAACGACAGTGTTTGCATGGGAATGTGCAGAGTACTACAAGGTTTTATATCATCACAACCACACATCTCATGATTTGATCCAATGGTGATAAGTGTAGCTGAGTCTTGAGAATGGTTTCTAACACCTCCCCTCAATTCGAGCTCAGGTTTAGGAAAGATATGAAGCTTGTTCCTTAACCTAGTGAAGAAGTGCATGCTCAAAGGTTTGGTAAAAACATCTGCCACTTGATCAATTGACGGTACAGGAAGAACATGAAGCTTGTTGTCTGTCAAAGTGTAAGTCAATCTCTATATGCTTTGTCCTAGCATGTTGCACAGGATTGCAGGCCAATGCTATAGTACTTAGGTTATCTACCCAAATACATGCAATTTTCTGTAGATGGTCCCCTAACTCTCTCAATAATGACTGAAGCCACATGATCTCAGCAGTTGCATGAGCCAAGCTCTTTATTGATGTCGAAAATTGGGCGATCAACTGTTAAATATAAATCAAATCGTTGTATGAAAATGAAGAACAAAATCAATGAGAATGGTGTTTCTTTTTTAGAGAGAATATTTTTCTTTCTTTGTTGTTGGAGAGAAGAGGAATGGAGAAAAACCCATTCTCTCTCTTCTTTTCACATATATATACATGTCTTTCACATATATATACATGTCTTCCACTCGCTTGTAGGTTTTGCTGATTTCGACTGACGTCTGTCCCTCCGACAATTGTGACATTTACTGGAGGCGGCTTTTTGTGATATACGTGTCATCTGATTTCTTCGGATTCGGCTCGGCTCAGCAACAGGTGGACTCACCATCTGGAGACCCGGTTGGATTTAAATGATCAGTCTTGAGTACCTGTTTGTATATTTATTTATCACGTGTTTTCGGCTCGTTGGTTGTCGGACCGTATTTTATTATTTTATTTATTATTTTATTAATCAAAGTCAAATTAGGTATCAACACTCTTATACTCTGATTCAGTGCTAGATCTTAAGACACTAGTTTGTTTCTTAGATTTTCATGAAACTAGATTATCTCCTAGGAACACACAAAAGCCAAAGGTGGACTTCCTATCATCAATATCACTTGCCCAATCAGAATAAAAAGTACCAACAATGTTGAGCTGCTTTGACTTCACAATTTGCAATCCATAGTGAAGAGTACCACATAGGTATCTCAGGATCTTTTTAACTATTTTCCAATGAGTGTCTAAAGGGTAAAACATAGATTGGCTAACCTTATTGACACTAAAAGATATTTTTGGTCGAGTGATGGTGATTGGTCGAGAAAGTGCGTATTTTTATATATTTATTAGCGTATTTTTATATGCTTAGTTTTGTCGCACTTATATATTTTTCAACTTATTTATTTATTAGGTGGA